AAAAACTATGTTGAGGGTTCTTGGCCCTGTGCATTAAAAGAAAACACAGAGGAAGTCTTTTCCTTGTGCATTGAAGGCAATTATAGAAGAAACCTTTGCCCTTGTGAATCCAAGAAAAGTCTGAGGAAGCCTCTGCCTTGTGGATTGAAGGAAAGCCTGGAGTAGCTAACGCACAGTCGAAGCCTTGTGAACCAATATTGGTCGAAGGAGGTTCAGCGCTACATCGAAGACATTGGGAAATCAACTTGTTCTAAGGGGGTCCAGTGCCTAATCGAAGACTTGCATACCAAAGCCTGATCGAAAAATTTTAGATGCCCAATCGAATCTCCTTGTCCAGATGTCAATCGAAAGACATCTTGTTCAGATTCCAAACGAAGGACCTTGTTAAAATGCCAATTGAAAGACCTTGTACCAAGTCCAATCGAAGACTCCTTTCCATATGCCAATCGAAGGAACCTTGTCCTAATGCCAATCAAAAGACCTTGTCCCAAGGCCAATCGAAGACTCCTGTTCAGATGCCAATCAAAGGCACCTTGTCCTAATGCCAATCGAAGACTCCTTCTTTATCTTCAAAATATTTATTTTCTTTAATCAAGTGTTTGTGACCACCCATGTAAGAGAAAACCTTGGAAAACATGAGAGGGCAAATTTTGGGGTACAACAGACAGCTTTTTTGAAAACTTGAAAACTCCATAACTTTTGACTCGGGTGTCTGTTTGACGCGCCGTATGGATCGTTGGAAAGCTAAAAATATTTTCAACAATGTCGTAATAATTTTGATGACAGTAGACTAATATTTTATTGAAATAATTCTGATGTGTGTGTGTGTTGTATGTGTTGTAATACAAAATATTGTGATTGAATGTATTAGTGTTGTATAAACGATGTACAAAGGATTTTGCATGATGTATTGCATAATAATGATTATGACAATGGCCTATATTGGCAAAAGATGTCATGTATTGGAGAGAAATTGATAAGTATAAACAATCAATGTAAATTAAGTTGTTACATGTCAGTGTCGCATGCATTCATTAAAGATGGCCTGTATTGGCGGATTTTGTGAAGGCCTGTATTGGCGGATTTTGTGAAGGTCTGTATTGGAAAATTGATTTGTGAATAGGGCTTATTCCTTGTGCCTAGAGATTACTGGAAAATGTTTATGTTGGGAGTTTTACTCCAATGGTACCACATGCATAGAGTCAGTATCATCCTCATTGCATTACGCTGTTATTAGTAATCGATGGTTTGATTATTAAACGAATTTCTAATTCTGTTACAATGGATGTTTGTGTTGTTTGTTGCATATAATTATATTGATGTGTTTCACAGTATGATAAACGATAAAAAGGTGTGAGATAAATATGTATAATGATGTGTACTTAAATTACTATCTGTTTATTATTATACTTCCTCTTATATTGTTATGATATCTCACCCTTTCTGTTTGAATGTTGCCTCTATATGGGTAACGTGCAGATGATCCAAAGTAGCTCGAGGTCGTAGTTAGCTGAAGAGTTCCTTCAATTTTGTGTAGATTGAGTCGGTGTCTGCTCTGATATGTAACACTTGAGGGTTTCGCGTTTGTTTTATTTCGTTGGAGTGAACCTTGCACTACTCCATCGTTTGAGTTCAATTTATGACTATGTTGAACTTTGAAAGATGTTAATTATGACTCCGGTTGGAGGATTGAGATGATTTTTTATTGATGTTTTCCGTTGTGAATAAATGAAAGGAAGTTTAAGACTTTTGAACATATGAATTGTGTTGCGTATCTTATTTAATGAGCATGTATGATGTATGAAGCATGCGGCATCCTATTTTGATGTTGTATTTTAGAAATTAATTTACTCTGATTCTTATATAATTTACCGACGGGGAAATAGGGTGTTACACACCCCACTTTCGTTTCTCCATGTCTTCCACAAATTACCTATAAGCCCCTTGAGGATTCAACATGAAAATCTTTTCAGGCTAGAATTGCCGCTCAGCCAAGTTATAGAATCGAGCTTGTTGGAGAGGTATGATAAAACAGGTGTTGTCAAACTCAACATGCTCTGCTTCTTCATTTTTTTGAGAATGGGATGAGGATCCCGCAGTGTAGCGAGAATGATTGCCTTGGCTTTCCCTTGAACTCGTCTGAAAATAACACAAAGAAAAACAAGGCAAAACCCATCAAAAATATTCTGGAAAATTATCAAAAATTCCCAAAAACCTTGATAAATTATCATAACATCACAAACAAAACAGAAATGTAAAAGAAAAAAATTTCAACTTCCAAAAGGCCGCACTAAGCCAGTTCACAACTTTTACGGCTCCTAGTAATATCTTTCTAACTCCTTGACTCGAGTCTTCTTCTGAACTTTGATTTGATTTCTGAAGAGGTTTGTGTTTTTTGGGAAAATGATGATAGTGTTTTAGGTTTTTGTATGATAGCTTGCTTTACTGTGATGTTTGAATAAAAGTATTGTTCTAGTTCGATGGATTATGGATGCTTTTTTCTGTGTTATTTTGTCAATTTTATAGTGAATGAAAACAAAGTTTTTTTTGGGGGGGGGGGGGGGAGGGGGGAAGATTGGAGTTTGAACAAATATGATATGCTGTTTTTTTACTTTTCTGATACAGCTCTGTTTTGCCGAGATTGTGCAATTTTTGAACTAGCTTGATGCGGATTTACAGGCTATGGACTGCCTTGATGCAGATTTGGTTTTTAGTTATTTTGGTATATGGACGGTATAACAGCGTCTAGTAGTTTTTTTGTGGTTTGTTTTTGACATGTTTTATGCAGAATTTTGGGATGTATTGGCTTTCTGTCATATTTGTGACAACTATGATGGAATTTTGAGTTTAATTTTTGTCTCTTTCCCATTTTGTCCTCTGTGAACCAAATCATTTATGATTTGCAATGGATGAAATGTTGCCCCTGATTTACTTGTAAATTCTGACTTTGTGAAACAAAAATGGTTTATGAGGTTTTGAGCATGATTGAATACAATCCTCTTATTTCTGATTCCCTTCACAAATCCCTAATGATGAAATTGTAAATAAAAAACTCTTTGAAAGTTTCTTACTCTTGTTCAAAATATGAATTGCTTGCTAACCATTTCTTTTCTTTTTGTTACATGTGTGAGAAAATTGATGGGCAATAGGGCAAATTGATGAAGAGAACGAAATAGGCGGGAACGATTTAAAGCGCTTGATGAAAACTTGAAGATGAAGAAAATTTCTTTGTAGTTTACTAAACCTCTTATCCGTTAGGAACTTTTGTAATATTGCGATTTCAATTTGTGATTTGAACTTTGAGATTTGGAGACTTGTAAAATGTATTCAAACTCATCTGTAAATTTAAATAACAATGATGCTTTGTTGTAATCTTGAATTCTTGAATGAACTTTGATGGTAAATGATGAAATCCTTTGCTTAGTTGAATTTGGACTATGTCAAACATTAAACATTTTTATTCATTTGAACGCCTTGGACAAACTTGAATGAATACTATCCAGACAATGTATCCAAATCTCTTCATCCCTCAAAACAAACCCTATCTTCAAATCTCAAGCAACCAAATACTTGCATTACAAGTAACAAAATTTTCTTGATCAAAGTAAAACCACAAGCTCATCCCTTAAGCCCTTGTACTTATATAACAAAAAAATGCCTTGAAGAATCTTAGAGGATGAATGGTAAGGCTTGAAGTAAAGAAAAGAACATGACCATAAGTCTAAAGTTAAAATGTTCAAAAGCTCAAACACCATGACTAGAAAACCTGATTCTCTTGACCTTGCATGAAGATATGAATTGAGATGTGGAAGAAAATCAAAACTTAACTCATAGCATCCTAAATAGAGAATATGATGGGAATTTAAGCACAACAAGTTAAATCCTTAACGCATTAGCTCTTGGAGAATCTTTGATAAAGATGACCTTGAAGCTTGATGAGTCTTGTCAAAGATGAATGCTCATGATGATGCGAGTCCAAACCTTCGCTTCAAACTTGAGTGAAAGAAACTCAAAGAATATAGAAAACCTTGATTTAAAGAACCCCTTGATCCCATGCTTTATTGAATGAATGAATTTTACACAAATGACCTAATGAAAATGATGCATATAAAATACAAAGCCTAATCCAGATAAAAGTAAGATCGGGAGGGCAAATTTTAGAATACAACAAAATACTTTCACCAAGCCCTTGTGTGCCTCTAAGTTTCTTCATCTGCACGACAAACTCAGGGTTTTTGACAAACACAACTTTCTCAACACACCCTCAACTTTTGTGAAAGAATGTTAGAGATAATAAAAAAATATCTAAATTTTCTATTTTAGATTTTATAAGATTCACTACACCGGCCAAATTTGAGTTTCCTATATAATGGAACATTGAATTCCTCATTCAATATAAAAATCAATATACAACATCTTTCATTAGATTTTACTCTAATACCAATTGTAACATAGCACGATGATACCATTACTAACGTATGCATAAAAAAGCAAAAAGTAAAACATGAAGATTAAAATATAATATACAATATATTCCTAACAAACAAATAATGCATGGCAGAATAAAATGAAAAGATTTCTTGCACTCATAAACAATGATTAGCTAATAATAACGGTCTCAATCCAACAGGATCCGAGTTAGAAAAAGTGAGGTGCAAGTAACAATAATAAAATAAAACGGAAACTGCTTAGAAGGAAAGAAAGATTTGAAAAGAAAAGAAAAAACTCACTTAAAAAAAAAATAGAAACAAGGAGTTTTCAACGAGTGGAGTGCACGCATCAAAATAACAAAGCCACCACGTTTAACAACAAACAAAAACATTATAATATAGTATTCAATTTCAAAGAACCAATCTCAAAATCAAGCAAAGCAAATTAAATCAACAAGGTGAACTTTGTTTATCATCAATTGTATTAGCTTTGATTTTTAATTATAACTGGTGCTATAGTTTTTAGTTTAATCATGTTTGATTTGATGTTTTTGAAAGCAGGTTTATAAGATGGGAAATACAGAATCAATGTCTGAACCTCAACATGAATTTTACTATCAACACCCTCCTGCTAATTATGATGGCAGTTCAGTGAGTAATAGCTATCATCAACCTTCTTCTTATGCTGGAAGTTTGGATAATGATCAACCCTCTTCTTATACCGGAAGTTCAGGGAATACTAACCATCATCAACCGTCTTCATATGCTGCTGCTACGAGTTCGGCGAATACGTATGATCGTAGGAACAAGCAACCAACATATATAGCTGACAATTTCAGCTCACTGGAACAGGTCTTCATTTGGAACAGATGAAAATTTGGAGGAAGTTAGACTTTATGAATCATAGAAATCTCGTGTTTATTATAGAAGATTTATGTCATTTTCAGGTTGTTTCTGCTCTGAGAGAAGCTGGTTTGGAATCGTCGAATTTAGTACTTGGTATTGATTTCACCAAAAGCAATGAGTGGACAGGTTAGTCCTTTTTTAAACATGAAATTGTTGTACATGGATATATGGATATGAATGTAGAAAAGTCACATTGTGATGATTATAGGTAAGTACGCGTTTCATCGGAAGAGTCTTCATCATATCGGAAGCAGTCCTAATCCGTATGAGCAAGCAATATCCATAATTGGGCGTACACTGTCTACTTTTGATGAAGATAATTTGATACCGTGTTTTGGGTTTGGTGATGGTGAGTATATGTTTGTGACTTTGTAAGAATGTTGTGTTTTCTGTTTTGTTGATTTTAGTGCATTTGGTTTTGTAGCGTCTACACACGATAAGAATGTGTTTAGTTTCTTTCCGGGGAGTAGAGTCTGTCATGGTTTTGAGGAAGTGCTTGCACGCTATAGACAGATTGCTCCAGTCTTGAAATTGTCAGGTTTGCTTTGCAACATTCTCTTTCAAATTTACTAGAAGTATATATCAGTCACATAATGCCCTTGTTTTTTGTTATAGGGCCAACATCATTTGCCCCTGTAATAGATGCAGCAATTGACATTGTGGAAAGTAACAACGGTCAATATCATGTTCTTGTCATTATTGCTGATGGACAGGTTATAACTACTTTTTTTCTTCATTATTTTCATGACATGCTTTCTTTGTTTCTTTTCCTGCATTTCGCTCCTTTTTCTGAAACTTCTTTCTTTTTCCCTAGGTTTCTAGAAATCCTGGTACACCGCATGGAAAGCTTAGTCCACAGGAACAAGCAACGATTAGTTCCATAATTGCTGCAAGGTAAAGCAACTTTTCTGTAGTCTTTTTGCTGTTGTTTGTGGTATCTGTCTTTTATGTTGAGCTGTTATGATTTTCAGTCATTATCCTCTCTCCATTATTTTGGTTGGAGTTGGAGATGGACCATGGGACGAGATGAAGCACTTTGATGATAACATTACTGGACGCTTATTTGACAACTTCCAGGTACTTAATAGCATTTGAACATTCAATATTATCTGAGATTATGGTAGCTTAGAAGGCCGGGACTTCTCGAATAAATGACAAAAACGACATTTCATCAGCTAATTTGAACTGCTTTGTTAAGCTGTTTTCATGGTTGAGACTTGAGACAGACAATCTATAAAACTCTACCTTAAAATTGATAAATCTAAGACGACTTACAATTGTGTTTATCCGATGTCTAGTTCATGGGCAGACTAAGGAGAATCATATGCTGCAACAGATTCAGCATTCCATATTTTCCTTCTAATGAAATTGATTACAACTGTTTTCCATTTTATTCCTTTAGTTTGTAAACTTCACAAAGATCATGTCTGAGAACACAGAAGCATCCAAGAAGGAAACGGCATTTGCACTTGCTGCCCTTATGGAGATTCCATTTCAGTACCGGGCAGCTCAAAATATACAACTTTCCAAGTAAGCTCTAGATTTCAAGTAGTGATTCTATTTTATCACATTCAAGCATTACTGAATGTCAAATCTTTTTCATACTGTAGCGAACCTGTTCGTCATCAACATAAAAGATCTCTCCCTCCACCAAAGGAAGTAATAGATCATGATAATACATTCATAGCAACTCCAGGCGTGACAAATTTCGATTTGGTTGTTCCAGAAACTCCAGCCAGTGCAGAACCAGTATGTTTTCTTGCCACTCCATGTATCTTTCTATTGCCATAATAACCAAGCTATGAGATTAACACCATTCTCTTAATGAAGGTATGCCCCATTTGCCTAACCAATCCGAAGGACATGGCTTTTGGATGCGGTCATACTGTAAGTCTGATTATATGCTAGTTTGAGTAGTGCGCCTTGTTGTATGTGTGGAATTAAATATAGTATAGTAAAATAATTGCATTATATTAAGCACAATTTTTTTGGAAAATCTATTTAACAAAACGGCTGAAAACAGCATTCTATTTTCACCCGCCAAGTCGAATTTCTATGAAAAAAAAAGAACAATTGTATATCAATCAATGTATAGCCTCCATGTAAAAGTGTATCTGGTGCTTATTTGCTTTTATATTTTGTGTAGACTTGCAAGGAGTGTGGAGCGACATTATCTTTATGCCCTATGTGCAGGCAACAAATCACAACTCGCTTGAGATTATACACTTAAGTCAAATTTCTTGCTAATTTGTTCTATAACATTATATTACAGCAATTGATGGTTAAATAGTATAGTACCATTATTTCTTTACAATTCAGCCTAACAATGGAATGTATAGAAATGTTGAGTGTAAATGTAATGCTTGATGTGTAGATTATTTTTGTACCCAAAAAAAATTTCTCTAAAGTTGCTATACATTTTGACATTCTGAAATTTACTTTAAATTTGAGAGCCGTCAGCCATGTACTTAATTAACTTACACTTACATTTGTGTCAATTGCGGATAGTAAATACTAGTTGTAATTTATTCAAAGTTTGGCATGCAAGGCTGCTAAAGATAGCACTATTTGACAACATGTTGTACTTTATATAGAATATCACACCAGTAGCAATGTTCAAAACTTGCTATCCTATAACAAATACAAATACCAGGGATGTCAGCTTGCTCCATTAGCGGAGATCTCTGCGGAGATTTTCCGTTTGAGATTTTAAAGACGGAGAATTTTTCCTCCACGAGAACGGAGATGAGAAATAAAATTTCTGCAAAGACATTTTAGAGACGGGGTAGCGTAAATATCCTCCGCTCCGTGAAGTCTCCGTCCCGCTTAGAATATCATAATAAACATAATTTATATATAGTTTTAAATTTTTATAATAGATTTATTTGTCATTTCATATAATTGATCTTATAAGCAAATTTAAAATATAAATATATTGTTAGTAAAAGAGTGAGAAATAAATAATTATTTTAAACTTTTTAAATTTGAAATTTTGGTGGTTATGACATGTAGATTAAACTCAATAATATAGATTAAATATTGTTAAAACAGTATATTTATCATAAAAGAAATTCTAATTTTTGTTGTGGTTAGTTTTTGAAATTTTTACTATTAATTTGATTTTAAAAAATAAATAAATAAATAAAATCATGTTTATGGATCTCCGTATGAATCTTGGGGATCCGTGGATATCTGCGGGGATCTGCGAAGACAGGGATAGGGGACAAAATCTCCTGTGACTAAAGGTAGCAAAACGGTGGTCTGCCCCATTTAAGCTCGTTCAAAAGTGGGGTGGGGTGGGGCGGACCAACGTAGGAATCCGAGCTTAAAAGTCAAGTGCGCCCCGTTTACTTACGAGTTGGCGGGTTGGCGGACCGGCCCGCCAATTTTTTATTTTTTTATTTTACAATTTGATTTAATACATAATTTATAAAAAAAAATTATTACCAAAGAGGTCGATAAAGAAAAAATTTTAACAACGCATAATAGAATTTCAAGATGTTTTTAGTCCAAACAATTTAATAAATAAAAGTCAATTACAACAAAAAAACAAAATAAACTCAAACACAATAAAAAATATCAAAATAAATAAACAATACATATCATTCTAATTCTATTTAAAAACTAACTACTAAAAGAACCCAATTTAAAATTTACACAAAACCAACCACGATAACAATAACATTACATAAAACATCACAGTACATAAAATAGTAATGCGTAAAATATCAACATCGAATTTTCTCACTGTTTATATTATATAGACTCTTATATTGACTGGTTCTTTAATAGTTAAATCATAAATTTATCACACGTATACACTAACTAAATTCTTCCTTTTCATAAAACTAACATATATTTCTAAAGGAAACATATGAGCTAATATATTGAAAACTTAATAATTATGCATGTCATATATTTGTTCTTTTATTTCAATCATTTTCAATTAACGCATGTATTAGGAAGTTATAGAAAGAACGTTACAATTATAATTCAATTTGTCTGTATAATAATTTATAATACAATCTTAAGAGATAAGTGTTGTTTTTATAATTAAAGTTATTTTAATTCTTAATAAAAAGAGTAAAAGTTTTAACAAAAAATCTGCGGAGAAAACCCGCCCCGCTCCGTTCCGTCTCGGCCCGTTTTTTTAAGCGGATTAGGCAGAACGGGCCAATTTAAGATACTAAATCGAAAATCTCAGCCCAGCCTACCAAAAATGGCGGGTCAAACGGACCAACCCGATGGACTCAACCCGTTTTGTCACCCCTACCCGTGACGGAGACCCGAGATGCAGACAGAAAATAGATTCGAGGGGGGATTGAGATAGAAATGTATCCCCTACCCCGCCTCATTGACATCCCTAACAAACACCACACCTAATGTATTATAAATTATTTTACAATATAAGACAAACATATGAATACGTCACGTGTAAACATTGACACATGTTAAAATTGTGGAATTAGGAAGAGAAGGAAGGTTCTTAGGAAGAACATGTTTTACATGTGTTTCGCCAACCACTTTTTCTTTATAATCTGGGTGGAAATAGGTTGAGTCGAGCTAGGCTTTGTCAAACTTAAATCTGACCTGTCAAAAAAATGGAAACTTAAGCTTGACTTATAACATGTCAAAGATTTATTTTTAGATTTGAGTCTGACTTTTTCTAAGGCTTAATTAGTCTGTTAGCCTACATAAAAACCTATTATTTTAGACATATATTTAAATAAGTAATTTAAATAATAATCAATGAGACTAAAAGTTTGTTTGCATTGATTTATTTTAACTTATCAATTAGCATAAATTTTGTGAGACTATTTATTTAAGAGGACTTGTGAAAACAACTTAGAATATTGTTCATAAGATGTTTTCATCTTATTTTCATAAATTCTCCAAGATAATTAAGTTTAATTTATGTATTTTAATTCAAAGTACAACACATAACATAATGATAATAAAAAAATTATTCATATTTATATATAAGCCGGTCTGTTAGGCTTAAAAGACTTTTTTCATAGTCTGAGTTAGCTTTTTTAACTAAATAGACTTATAAAAAAACCTAAGTCTAGCCTAAACCTATTTAGATTAAGCCATAACCTGAACCTATGTCGACTAAGTTATAAGCCCCTATCAGCCTAGCTTATTTCCACCTGGTTTACAGCATGTTAATCGTTGCACTATTTTGTAGGTGAGATAGCTGACTATACGCTTACACATTAATATATTTACCACATAGGAGACGCGGCTTCTAAAGTGCACCCACCTACAAAAGCTGTTAATGTTGACTGTTGTTTTTCACCATTAAGTATGAGATTTGCTACATATTGAGAAGATATTTGTGCAAGAATTGACATGTTGTGGAATATCTTAAACAAATAAATAATGATACAGTCGGCCTTTGTGCGGAATACATGGGCAGTTGGTTATTAAAATCAGTAGATATAATTCACTATTTGGTTTTGTTTCATGATGAATAAAGAAGCATTTCTCATTAAATATATTTAAGTGTATAATTACTATATTCAACAGATTAAGATTACAAATTACAAGTTTTAAAGATTGCAAACAAAATTCTCAACTTTAGAGCAATCTTACTAGTGTCCTAAGTTCGAAAATCCTAAATCTACAATACCACTCCTCTTCTTCAATGGCTTCTCTTAATATCTACTATGTGAAAACTTCAGCAATCTGCAACATGAACGGAATACAAAATCAGTCACAGGGCTCCACCTCCAAATATTGTCAGTTCCCATAACTCTGGTAAATAAATATGCCTACAATTGTAACACTGGTTTCAACCCCAAATAACCAGACTTGGCACATAAATACATATACTGCCTATTATGGATACAATGCACAAGTATTGTTGATACAACTGTTAGACAGTATAGCAAATTAACTGTTTTGTAGAATTAGAGTCAAAAAGATGCACAGGTCTTGTGTGGTTCCATGGATGTTGGATAGTTTATATTTTGATTAAGAGAACAAGTAATTTACAAATAATACACTGAGAAAATCTTTTAATTCATTACTGAACCGGTTCATAGTTAGGAAGTATATAAAAGAAAGGTCGACTCCATATTGACCCGAGCATAAACTCAAAGCAGCAGCAACCTCCAGTTTTTTTTCCCAAGTATTGAGCTCCAAAATATAGTGACGACCCCATTAACATATAGTTCAAGTCCTCTCAACATATACAACCAAAAAATATTTAAGAAATAGTTTCAATTGTTAAATAACATCTACCTAATGGTACAGCAATAAAAGATTAGAAAATGCATGCATTTGAAACCTTCAATCCTACAATACTTAGAAAAGAAATTTGAATACACTAATCAAATTCAAATAGTTTTTAAAATATAAAATCTACTGAATGGCTATTAAAGAAAATGAATGCTTAAAAGTCGTCACAAAATGACAAATACACACATGATGGAGACAAATTTAGAAGGTAAACATGGGGACCCTTCATTCTTTTGAAAAAGAGTTGTAATTTAAAAGATGTAGTTAGTTACCTACTGATATAATAATTCAGGCCAATGTTCATCACGTCAATTTTTGTATTTCTAAATCAATCACCATAGAATATGCAAGAAAAATGTTATTTACTCTACAGGAGAAAAAAAAATTAAATCCTAGATTGGTTAGCCCTATGTCCATCAGCTTACAAGCTGATCTGAAGGTACGGGATCTAAAATAGAGCAAATATTTAACCCCTTTTTTCTGAGATTTGAGAGAGATAAAGACCTTATTAGTGTATTGACTAGCTTGTTGTGAAGATAAAGAGAGAAGAATTGAGAGCCAAATAACCGACCTAGAAAAGCCTTAGAAGTTAGAAGTTCCATCTGTCCAATTGCACCCTTGCTTCAGCCATATCTTTCTGTGCCTTCTTGCGCCGATAAAAAATTGGACAATCTCGACTACAACAGCCATGAAGCATAAATCAGTGATGACAAAGAGTAACTACAAATAAACTTAAAGCTCTTCTGCAAAATAGTGGGTAAAAAGAAATAATGGCACTACAACTACTTGACAAATATTACATGAATAGTAAACAACTCAAGGGAGAAGGAGAAAAACAAAGCTTCCTTTACTCAAGGACACAAGATTAATTGATATTAAGAAATGGCAGCTCTTAAAAAATAATAATTGAGAAACTCACGCCACCTAAGTATATCCCTTAACATAAGTTTCACAGAAATACAAACCAAATGAAAATACCTTGTGCAG